AAACAACCCAGCCTATCTAATCAAAGACAAATATTTTTCTAAAAAACGACACCTTTCATCCCAGAAAAACAACAAAATACCTTCCCAACAAAAACACAAACGTCCACTCATCAAACAAACAAACACTAGCAAAAAAACAAACTTCTTCTTTCTATTTCCAATCATGAAAAATGTAAGTCTAATGATGAGTCATCCATTTATTCAATCAACAAAAACTAGATTCAGTGAAGTCTAAACACACACACACACATACACACACGAACACACACACACACATGAACACACACACATATACACACACGAACACACACACACTAACACACACACACACGAACACACAGACACAGACACCCACGTGTCGGCAGACATCACGACAATCATAGTTCAAAGTCAACTGTTTCCTGTCCCCATCAAGACATGTCCAACAACCTAGACTGAGACATTGGATGTCTCGTAAAGACACGTCCTACAACCTAGATTGAGACCTTGGACGTCCCATCAAGACATGTCCTACAACCTAGATTGAGACCCTGGATGTCTCATAAAGACATGTTCTACAACCTAGATTGAGACCTTTGGAGTTCCCGTCAAGACATGTCCAACAACCTAGACTGAGACCCTGGATGTTGCTCCGTAGGTCAAAGCAGATCAAAATGGAAATTGAGTAGACCAATATTATTTTACTTTGACCAACGTGCTTATGAAATTACATCATGTATTATACAACAGAAAGCTTTTTGTACAGAAAAGATGCCCACTCAACAGCAAGCTTTATGCGCTTTACAATCTAAACCCAGCAGACCGTTTAGTATTCTGAAACAATTTCAATTTCCTGGGAGGAAAGCACACAGTTCAAGCTGCCATTTTACAGGCACTAGAACACTAACAATACTAACATGTCATACTGACAAGATAATTCACTGTCTTTGGCCGGGTACCCATTCCCACCCGAGTGAAGTGAGGAAAATTTGAGTAAACTGCCTTTCCCAAGGACACAATGTCTGGCCTGAGGCTCAAACCCCTGAACCCGCAACCACAAAATACTAGTCTCGTAGCCTAACCACTAGACTACCGACAAATACCTGAAGTCTCTCATCTTCCTCAGCCAAAGACAACACTTTCTGCTCGTGCATACCATCAGTCAAACTTTTCACTTACACACAAAACAAAGACTATGTTGAAACACACCATGACAAAACTAGTACACTCCCAGACAATCAGACAATTAATCCAGCTCAACACATCACACACTTACATTAAAGACAATCAAAAACACTTGCATATATGTGTATCATTAACACCGACATGTGTGTATTACAAACACTCACATACCTGCATCATAAACTAAACACTTATGTGTGTGTGAATTATAAACACCTGCAAACATGAAATGTAAACACTCACAAGGGTAGTGGAAACAAAGGCTCGCATATATGTGTGTCATAATCACTCATAGGTGGGAATTATAATGAACACTTGCAAACATGTATTAGTTATTACAAACGCTCATGTAGGTATACATAAACACTTACACATGTAATCAAACGCTCAATATGACATCTGTAAAACTAACCCAATCCATCCCCCCACCCTGCCCCGCCCTACTCAATCATTCCCCCATCACCAGGTAGCCCTCTTGATTCCGCTGAGCTTGTTGTAGTCCGCCAGCAGCCGCCACTGTATGCGGCTCAGTCGGTAGTCGTGGAGGACCCAGCGGGGGCGGGAGGTGAGGATGCACCGAGGTTTGATTCGCGGGTAGCAGGCGTCGCGGGGGAAGGCGTGTAACTCCTGGCCTGCTACTTCCTGTGACACAGAAATTTTTATATTTTTTTTATAGTAGAGGGTTTTATGGTGCTCCCAACTGCAAAAGGTCATATGAGTGCCAAGGGGTGGGTGTCAACAGAGAAGTCTTTTCAGGGAATCGGACTTATTCTGCTCACCTCTCTAGTTTCAACAGCACAAAGTCTGTTTCCACTATCAAGGCACCCCAAAATAGCAGGTCACAAGAGAGTGACAAACAAACAAAAGAAGTAGAGGAAAATGACAATAGTAAGGATCAGGAAAGAAAAAGCAGCAGTTCCCTGTTGTAGATCAGGCAGTTATGAGAGTGACATGAATCAGCCCATTTACAATTCTACTGTGCTTGAACGAGAAATGTACCCCCTTTGGGAATGGCCAAAAGACACTACAGTCAGTGGCACTGCCCCGGGGGGTGAAAGTTTGTTTGTGAGTTTGACATTTTAATAGCTTGAGTAAACAGAAACACGTCAACCAGATGACGGTCATTTTGGTGCAAGGAAAAGTAAGATAGACAAACAGGAACAACTGATGGAAAGACAGGAGTTTGAAATAGTAGCGGTAGATCAGGTTACTTTAAGCATTTCAAAGAGAAGAATATTGACACTGCAACTGTCATATAGGCGAACAAAGTTTAGAAGAAAAATCACACTGACACAATATATTAAAGTCGATCTAACTTATAGGGAAAAAGTAAGACATTCACACAGAAACAACGGAAGGAAAGAAAAGAAGTAGGACCTACCAGTGGTACCCTCATCCGTGAGAAGAAAAGCATGATAATACGGATTGAAAAAAAAAATCAATTGAGGTTGTGCTGCAAAAAGTGAGCGTGGGGCGGTAACTAGTACAAACAATTATAGTCTAGCACTCACACGGCCAACTCCGTGGTCACAGGATCCAAATCTTTCTGCTACCAGTATGTAAAAGTTTTGATACAAAGAATATCGACGGCTGAGCGCAAGAAGTGACTATGCTATATATCCACTTTTCACAGTTTCGAGAAAATTTAGTTTGAAATTTTGACGAAACTGAAATCCCTATAACATTAACATAGTCAAAAAAGAAAAGTCGAACCTGTGTAAGACGGAATCGCAAGGGAGCCATAAAAAAATTCCGTCTTAGACATTTTCCATCTTAGACAGGGAAATTTAGGTGGAGATGGAAGGGGAGGGGGGTCAATGACCCAGCCGGTGGGATCAAGGATCGCTCGTCCGATCAGCAAGCACTGGTCAAAACTTCACACCTCTCAACTGCTATCCTGTCAGATAATGACATGCGTCAGTCTTACTTATCCAATTACCACCAGTGCTTTCCTTTCTTAGGATCACTGTTTGACCTATTAAAAACAGAAACGTTTGAACATCTCTTTTGCTTCCACCCTTAGCTCCACCCATCAGTGTAACAAGCACAGTCAACCAATGCCACCCCTTACCACCATCATGTAACAACGATTCGAGGAACTCTTTTCTTGGCTGGCCGTACCAGGGCGGCAAGCATTGGTCAAGCTAATTTCACACCCCTGGCTTCTGCCTACCCAGGAAAGTTTCCGTGGTGGCTCGCAACTCGAGCACTGTCACAGGCAGTCGTGAGATTTCACACCCTCACTATCCTGACCATCTGCATCGCTCAGGGCTCACATGATGGGGTAACATAGGTAACATCTACCCCCAAATTGCACCCCTACTACCCTTCCTCGCATAGCGGCGTGGCCGGCGGAACCAAACTTGCGAGTCTGTTTCAAATCAGGGCTGAGCGAGCAAAGCATTTTTCGTCTTAGACGGGTGAGACCCTCGGAAGGGAGAGGATTTTTCTTTTCGTTTCCGCGTTGGACAGGTTTCCGTTTTATACATGTAATTAAAGAGGATTTCCGTTTTACACAGATTTCTGTTAAGGCAGGTTCGACTGTATTTCAATACTGAATTAAGCTATGGCTTCGATATTTACAGGGGTAAAAGAGCGGCTTAACACTCACTACCCAAATCAATAACTCCATTTCGACCACAAGTGATATTAGCCTAGTTACTTCTTGCACTCAGCCATCGATACGACATGTCATGTAGAGAAAAAATTTGGGGAACTGAAAATCTGATTGCTAAGGGCATGTTTTGTTAATTGTGTGTTCTCTTCACTATGTGCAAGCTAGACGGTAGAAAGAAGACAATAAATGTGACATGTGCTGACACAATGAGTTACTTCTCACAATCCACATACATGTATGGAGACACTGGCTGAACATCGACACATTAAATTTGTAGACATTTCAATTAATGTCATTTCGTTCGAGTGGAACATGTCTTTTATGATTTCATATGTGAGCCAGCGTGGTAATATCAGGCACTCGTCAAAAAAATGTAATCGGGGAAACCGGCATTGTTCTGGCCGCTGGGAAATTAAAATTCTCACCAATTTGAGTTACAATGCGGTGAAATCAGGCGCTCGTCGTTATTGGGGCATATTATGGAGTTATTAGTATAATTTTAGAACTTGTTTGTTTGTCTTGTTTTCAATGAAAAAAATTACCCTTCTATCTTCAATAAAAGTCGAGATATTTTGTATTGAAATAGGTGGGGGTCACCTGGTTTCAAAGGTAAAATAGAGAAAAAATGGCCACAAAAGTTTAATGACTTCCAAAGCTTGAGAGCCCTTGGAAACTAAACTTACAGTTTTTGCGTCTTTAATCAATATTATAAGAAAAAGTTAAAGAGCAAATTGTTTTTAAATGGACATAAAAAGTACTGAGCCAAAATCACAAAATTAGATAAAAATTGCCAAAGGGGAAGAAAAATGCCGCTCTCTTCAATTTCATTATTTTGACGAGCGCCTGATTTCACCATGATGCCTCACATTTTACCTCTGACATCAGGCAACCCCCACCTCCGCCAATCGCAAATATCTTGACTTTTATTTAAGACAGATGGCTACTTTTTTTGCCAAAAGGAAGACAAATGAATTAGCGTGAATATGGCACTAATAACTCCATATGCCCAAAAATTGGCGAGCGCCGGAGTCCACCAGGTCGTGACACATATATATCTCTATCCTAGTAAAACGGGCTAAAATTCGAAAAATAACTAATTTTGTCAGTACGCCTTACAAATAGAGTTCCTAGGACACTTGAGTAAAGTGATAGGCTGAGATCATATTGCTCTCAATGGAGAAATTGAAAGCAAAAGAGGTAGAGGCAGACGAAGAATGACTCAGAGAGCATCCTTGCAAAGAAATGAGAAAAAAACCATGATCCCCAAAGCTGTTTTACATCTATGTCAATTGAAGAAGAAGAAGACACGCATGGACACAATAACAAAGTGATCAGGAGCTCGGAAAAGGAAAAACAAGGGAATGTGCTGTCCTAAGGTCAGTGCTAATTTTCAGCTAAGCTCGCTAGCCAGGACAGCTGACTCATCGTCTTACAGTGTCACAGTTAGTGAACTCACTGTCTGCTGCCGGCCCACTCATGAAATATTCCAACCCCGTTTCAAACAAACTTTGCTACCTTCTATGGTTAGGCATTAAGCTTAAAATTATACATTTCCTTGATGTACCCAACTATATATATATATATATATATATCATAAGAGGCAACAAAGGGCTAAAAAGGTGAACTAAATCAACCCTGTATGTCAAAACCAAGCTGTCCTGAAAAGTTTTTTGTTTTAGTAGAGGTTTTACGGTGCTCGCAACTGCATAAGGCCAAGGGGTGGACATCAACAGAGAAGTCCTTACAGGGAATCAGACTTACTCTGCTCATCTCTCTAGCTTCAACAGCACAAAGTCTGCTTCGACTATCAAGGCACCCCGGCAATAGCGGGTCACAAGAGTGTGACAAACATACAAAAAAAGTAGAAGAAAATGACGATAGTAAGGATTAGGAAAGAAAAAGCAGTAGTTCCCTGTTGTAGTTCAGGCACAGTTATGAGCATGACATTGCTGAATCAGCCCATTTACAATTCTACTGTGCATTAGAATGAGAAAAGTCCCCCTTTTGGGAATGGCCTAAAGACACTTCAGTCAGTGGCACCGCCCGGGGGGGTGTCCAGAAAAGGATCACAGCATCCCAGCAAACAGACAGAGATACTCATTTTAAAAATCCTTCCAATTCGGGAATCTAAAACCCATCATGCGAGATACGACAAAAAAACAAGCTGTAATATCACAGATTCTAGTAAATAAACTTTACATTAGAATCAATATTATCATCACTTGTGATGAGCGGCGACAAATGGCAGTCAGGCTCTTCATTGATGCAAATTTTAAGTCCCACACCAGCCTATCAAAATCTTCCTGGGGACACAAACCTGAAACTCTTTAGGTAGAACAGAACATCTCTTAATGACGGTGTATCGAAGACGAGAGGAGAAATGCTGTTTCAGGCAGACACGTCTCTTGTAGTCACGGGCCATCCAACGGTTGACAAAGTGATGATCAAATCGCTTGCCTCGACATGGCACCACTGTGTTCACAACCGATGTGTTAACTCCGGCTGGTTGTATTGTTGCTGTTGTTGTTGTCGGAGAGAGAGGAAGTCGACGCAGAAATGCAGAACAAGTGGCCTCTGCTAGCTGGGATACCTGTCGGAGAGGCAATACATCACTCTAACTCAACATATTTTTAACATTTATTTTGAGCAAAGAGAGGCACAATGATTTATAAAAACAAACGACTATTTCAACAAAGAGAAGAGCAAGAAAGACAAAACATGGTCAGCACGGAAATCTTTTTCAGAGCGGCTAGCCACCTGATCTGGTGTGGCCAGTGTTTTGCCACACAAACCAATTTGGTCAATTAGCGTAACGCTTCTGGCCTGAGGGGATTTCTGTGCATGCTCCGTGTTCTGGCCCGTGGTGGTTTCTCTCTCCCTCCCCCTCTCCCGCCCTTCCCCCCCCCCTCTCTCATATTTTACACACAAACGCACTCATCGAAATATACACACTCAATCTTTTTCTCCCTTCTACCCCCCCTCTCTCTCTCTCTGCCCGCAGACAAAATTGTTCACTTTCAACTTATCACTAGAATATTGTTTACACTCGTATCACAGGCTGTCACGCACTAAGACAAGATCGCGCCCAAGTCCCGCTCGGACACGAGACAGGGCGATTGAAACATCTTGGTAGTAGAGAATCTTTGATAATAATTAATATCACCATAAAGATTCTTTACTAAAACATCACAACGTTGCATTTCTATTTTTAGTAGCTTTGTCACCAGCATTCCGATGAATAATAATAAAGGGTGAAAGATCTAGTCAACTCGAGAGGGAAACCCTGAAGAAAGTTGCCTTTAAAAATAGCAAAAGTTGCAAGAAAAATTAGCAAAAGTAGCGCAAAAGTTGGGCTGATGCCAAAAGTTGCATGCTCCTCTGAGGACAGAAAAATAGACGGCGGAAATACGTCATCTATATTTGGGCCAATCACAGAGGTGTGCTAGGTGCTCTATATGTAGATTCATGTCCCTTGGAAGGCCGCAAGACCGTGTTTACGCTACCTAAGACTATGATGACTAGATCGAGGTGACTGACTCCGGGTGGGCAGAAAAATGCTAGCCACCCGAGCAGGGTTGGGTTGATTTAAATGAGTTGATTTTTAAAATTTAAATCAACTTGATTTTTAAAATAAAAATCAGAGATTTAAATCACTTTTTCAAAAATTTATTTTTATTCAGTTTTTACACATTTCAACATTCAGAATTCCTTTCCTTGGTTTCATAAAACAGATATAAGGTTTAGTAGACTTATATAATCATGCTTTAAAGTCTGCTTTCCCCCCTTTCACTGTAAAATAATATAGTATTCAATTTACTTTTTTTTTTTCAATAATTGAAATCAGAGCTGGGTTGATTTAAATCAGTTGATTTTTTTTTTTTAAATCAACTTGATTTTTTAAATAAAAATCAGTGATTTAAAATCACTTTTCAAAAAAATATATTCAGTTTTTACATATTTAAACATTCAGAATTCCTTTCCTTGGTTTTATTAAACAGATTTAAGGTTTAGTAGACTAATATAATCATTCTTAAAAGTCTGCTTTCCCCCCTGTCACTGTAAAATAAGATAAGATAAGATAAGATAAGATACATCTTTATTGTCCAGATCCAGGCACATTGGTTTGGTGTTCCACCACGAGTACACACACACACACACACACACACACACACACACGTACACACGTGCACACATGCACACACAAGTAGGCTTACAATCACATGCATAATATAAATGAGCAGCAATATAAACAATAATAATCGTAAGCTAGATACACACTCAATGTTATTTTGATGCATGCTCTAAGGTCGTAAGTACACTAAACAAGATGGTTAAGATGGAAGCATTTTGATAGATGATGGTAAAAATGACCTTCTGTATATTTCCTTGTTACAGATCAGAAGCATGGGTCTTTTACTTCTGACTGATGTTTTTATTTGAGGGAACAAGGGATGTTTGTTGTCTAAAAAGATGGAATTAATTTTCTTAGTGCAAGCTGTTATGTACAATTAATTCATCCAAGTAGGGGAATGAAGATGTTGAAATTTTACATGCTTTCCGTATAAGTCGATTTAATTTTTCTTTATCTTGTTGTCTTGTGTTCCTGGCCCATGCTGTTAAACAAAAATTGATCATACTTTCTATGGTTGAATGGTAGAACATGGACATCAATGTTTTATCAACTTTAAAATACTTTAGCTTTCTTAGAAAAAATAGTCTTTTGTTCACTTTTTTATGCAGGAGAGAAGTGTGGACACGCCAGTTGAGTTTAAAATAATACAGTTCTCAATTTACTTTTTTTTTAATAATTGAAAACCAGGGTTGGGTTGATTTAAATCATGTCGATTTAAATCAGTTGATTTTTGAAAAACTTAAATCAACTTGATTTTTAAAATAAAACTCAGTGATTTAAATCACTTTAAAAAAATGTATTCTGTTTTTACATCTTTAAACATTCAGAATTCCTTTCCTTGGTTTTATAAAACAGTGTCACTGTAAAATAATACAGTTCTCAATTTACTTTTATTTCATAATTGAAAACGAGGGTTGGGTTGATTTAAATCAGTTGATTTTTAAAAATTTAAATCAACTTGATTTTAAAAATAAAACTCAGTGATTTATATCACTTTTTAAAAAAGTATTCTGTTTTTACATCTTTAAACATTCAGAATTCCTTTCCTTGGTTTTATAAAACAGATATAAGGTTTAGTAGACTAAAATTGCTTAAAAGTCTGCTTCCCCCCCAGTCACTGTAAGTAGTAAAATAATACAGTATTCAATTTACTTTTTTTTCATAATTGAAATTAGCATTTTCTTTTTCTTTTTAGACAAACACAAGTGCGCGCACACACACACACTGAAATAAAAGGCAAGTTTATCTATGCATAATTACCCCCCCCCCCTCCCCCTTCCTTTTAGACTGACATTTTCTTCATTTTTTGTCTGTAGCCATAATTCACTGACAGCAGATTAAGGCTTTCTAAAATTGCAGTTGCTTAAATTAATCATTAGTTAAAATAAAGACAATGCAATTTGCACTAAAAGAACATACTTTTAGCCACCAAAAATCCCAAACTGTGTCGACATTTTTTTTAAAATAAAAAAAATCAGATTTAAATTTTGAAAATCTGATTTAAATTTTTTTAAAACTATTTTTGTCATTAAAAATATTTTTTTTAAAATCACCAACCCTGCACCCGAGGTCGCAGAATTTTACCCTGCAAAACTCATCGACACGGACAATAGGTCAAGCCACTGACCCAACATAATTATGTCGTTCAAGGCGGTATCTCCAAAGATCATGTAGTGTGTAGTGTAGATCAGTAGAGAATCTTTGGTGTTTCCACGGTCTTCTAAAAATAGTCTGTGGGTATCCCAGGACGTGATGACATCACATTACTAAAAGAAGCAGCCAATCGGGCAGGGTGTCATTCTACGTTTAGTTAGCCGCATGTACAATTTCATGTTTTGCAATTAGGCCTAGATTTTATTTTTAAGCTATCTCTCCATACAGTAGTCTCCGCCTAAACGCACGCCATACAAAAGCACGCTCCGCTTAAACGCACGCTTTCGTCATCTGACGGGTTTTTTACTATATATATAATTTAGACGTACAAACGCACGGTCACTCTCTCTACTCTCTCTAAATGCACGATCCGATCCGCGAAACACGCCGACAAGTTAAGCTTGGCAAGAGGAAATTTCCATTACAACCTGCACAGCCTGCATAAGACAAGCCTAGAATTTACTAGAAAACCGGATACTGGGTGAGAGTGCCCCTCACGCCGTACAAAGAGAGTGATGGACAGCGTTTACTGACGCACAGGTGTTTGAGTTTGAGTGACTGCGTGTGTGTAATGTTTAGCTCTAGTTAGATCTAGGCCTGATGCGCGACATGCGTAAATGCTGTAAAACACTAGGCAGGCCTCTAGGATTAAATATTAGACAAATAAGCCCAATTATTGCGCTCAAAGAACTTAAATAACGTACTTGTTCAACGAATCACAAGAGAAAATGTTTCTCGAGGATGATTCTGCATGAATTTACGGTCGGGGGTGGTCGCTTGGAAAGCCACGTGGCTGGTCTGTCGTCTCTATGACTAGATCTATGACTATCTCCAACAGTTTTCTCTTAGGCTATCTGTTCCCGACATTTATAGTGCAGATTCATTACATTGAGTTTATCTTTCTCCCCACCCCATTCAACGCCGTCGTATTCTTAACCCCTGTCGGGGAATCCTTCACAAAACAGTCACGTGTCGTCACATTATCGGCCCAAAGTGACCCCTAACCCAAAGGGAGGTCACTAGAATATCAAGGCAATGAGATGACTGCGTCCCTTCTTCCCCTTGCAAAGGTTCATGTAAACGCACGCTCCGTATAAACACACGCTAAGGAGCCCTCCTGAGCACCGTGCGTTTAGACGGAGACTACCTACTGTATCGGCATGCACATCGAAAAATAATCGTTTAGAACCAGAAGTATGGAGATGGGGCGGCTTTCGTGGGCGCCGCACAGACACTCCCGCTGCCTTTTCGCCACCGCTGCCTCTCCGTCCGCGTAAAGAGCAGCCAGGCAGGCCCGAATACTCGCGTTGCCACGAGCCGAGTCCTGCTGGCGCGCACGGAGAGAGCCACACGGCAGCGCAGCAGCGGGTGTCTCGAGGACACGGGCACTATCACTACGTGCACTTGAGGCCACGGGACGAGCGGAGGCGGAGGGAAGGGGCTGGTGTGGCCCACCACCCTCCACCGCCGTCGCCGCGAGAGCCCAGGGCGCGCTCCCGAGAGCAAGGGAGCGCGATGTCAAACCAGACCCACATTCTTAAGTAGTACCGTGATCCATATGTATGGTAGGCCTATATTTGGTATGATTTAGTGGAAGACTTTGTGCATGGCTAATCACCATTAAAATAGGCTTTTTTTTTTATAGATCTTGATCTAGATCTAGGTGTTTAGATCTAAGGAAGTGGCTCCATCCTCACCCCGGGTGAGAATAAAAATACGATCGACCTCTCACCCAGGGTGAAACTTGCCAGCGTTGGCTATTCTCACCCGGTATGAAATAAGATCTGTTTACCTTGTCCTCATTT